AAATTAAAAAAAAAACCTATGAAAAAGCCTTTGAAATCTCTGCAAAAACACACACATTCTGCCATTTTTTGTAAGTACACAAGTTTTTTGTTTCCAAGTGAAGAAACCCAGTTGAATTTGAATACAGCAGAGGCTAATTTGGTCTCTCTCTCTTCCACAGTCACCTTTTTTCAGCTTTTTCTTTTCCTCTCTTACCCTTTATTTTTTTTTTCCTCCCTCAAATTATTATTGATTAGACCCCTAAAAACACTATCTTTTCTTTCCATTTCTTTTCTATTTATATCACAAATTTTTATTTCACAGGCGTGAATTCTAAAAGTATTGCAAGCAAAAGTTATCATCTAGATTCAAGATGGGTTAATTCGTGGACTAATTTAAAAAAAAATGTAAAAATTTCTAAAAAGTCATTAGTTTAACAAGAGTCCCTATATGCAAAACTAAATTTGGTTATGGCAAAAAATTGATTATTAAATAACCCCCACAAAAACTTATAAATTAAAAAAATATATATACTCTAATTGATTGGATAACAGATTTTTCGTACCACAACTTAATTTATCAAAAGGTTAAAAAAAATTAAAGTCGGAGGTGAATGTTACGTTGCAACACTTATCTAATTCTAAAGTATAGTTCGATGAAATTGAAAGCTTCGTATAAAAATTGATACATATTGTTAAGTTTAGGATACAAATTAACTCTAGTAGTAATTTAGTCGTCCTTAGGGTTAAAAATGGGGTTGTGGGTCATTTGTGTTGATGTGAGTTTTTGTAAGATATTTGTTTGCTTTATTTCACTTGTTTCATTTATTTACCATCAATGGTAAATGTTGTTTTTCAATCAAAATTTAAATGCAGAAACTTAATTAGTTACCATTTTAAATATTCAAGGATTAAATTGTTATTAAAAGAACATATGTGTGTGATCGAGTCTATGGCAAAGATTCAAATAATAGAGATTAAAAGTACGATTTAACCTTTTTTTTCCTTTTAGAAAAATAACTTTATTACTCAATAGGAATATTGTTTTCCTTTAGAGTGTTGCTTTTTCAGAATAGAATATATGCAAAATCTTATTAGGTTTAGTGTAGACCAAAAATATTATTACTATATATTTGCGTTCAAAATGGCCACAATGTCATATTCTTATCTTATATTCATTTTGGGTACGGTTGATATTTTATAAATCAATATTTTTTAATAAAAAGAAGATAAAAGTCTTTTGTGAATTGTGATATTTTCCACCATAATATTTTATAGAACAAAAAACTTTTGATTAAAACACTTCCCATATTATTTATTTATTAAATATAATTCAAGTAGTTAGGTATCAAAATCTCCATAGATCTAAAACAAACATGTACGAATGTATGAATGATAACATAATATCATGGAAGAGTATAATTAATTGATTTTTTTCTTACAATGTGACGATTGAGCTCTATCTATCGAGGTCAATACCAAAGAATAGTAACTTTGATTTTTTTGTAATGACAAAAAATATATATATTATTATAATTATCTCTAAATTATTATATAGGTCCAAAGACTGGCGATGCAAATGATTTATTAAAGTATAAAATTTTCATTTATTTACTAAAGCAACCTATACAAGTTTCTATGATATTCACAAGCTTCTTCGAAACTATATATATATATATATAGTAATTATAAAGTTAAGGAGTTATTTGAATATCGTAAAGTTAAAGAGTTATTTAAATAGTCTAACATGAACATAGTTAAACAATAATTGACACATATTTATTCATCTAAAGTTGGAATTTTTTAAATTCTCTCGTACTATACTAAAAAAATAGTAATTATTTGAATACTATTAAAATAATTTATTTACCGATGATATTATTGAAAAATGAAATTAGCATTAAACTTCTCAACAGAAAATCTTCTTAAAAGCGACTGAGAAATTGCAATAAATAGAAATTTTCTGTCTTTTAGTCACTTTTTCAAAACCTAGGTTTTCTAAATATTACTAACATCATCTTAGAAACCAAATGACATTCCCTACCCTTCTACTATCTCCTTCGGGCTCTCCCTCTCTTTTGGCTCTCTCTCGTATTGTCTCGCTCTCGCTCTCTCTCTCCCCCTCTGCCTCTCTCTCTCTAGCTCTCGACCTTTCTCGCTCTCGCTCTCTCTCCGCTATTTATTTCCTCTCGTTATCGCTCTCTCTCATCTCTCATAAGTGGAGGAGTAGTGAAACCATTTGATATTTAAATGATGTCAGCAAATACTTAGAAAACTTATGTTTTAAAAATGGTGATTAGAAAAAAAAGACAATGGAGAACGCCTATTCCATCAAATTTTCCAAGCGACTTGTATTGAAATGAGTCGTTCATTTTAAATAATTGTATTTATAACAATAAATTTTAGCTATTAAATTGAGTTTTTTTTCCCTCCATCCCACGGTTTAAATCTGTTTTTGCCATTGTATAAATGGTTTGATTGATAAATATAATACTTCATCTTAAAGTAAACAAAAACTTACACGATACTTCTAAAAATAGTGTAGAAAGTAGAGTACCAATATTTTCTAAATACTATTAAAACATGCATATTTGAAATGAAAAAAAAAACCCCCCAAATTATGAAAACTGATTTTTTTTCCTTTTTAAATTAGTGAATTGTGAAAGAAAACAAATGGGTCTGAAAAGGAGTAGGCAGTGAATATATGATAATGAAAACGTGTCGTCAGTGATGGATTGAAAGGATGGGTTGAAGACATCGAGACAACCCTCCATCAATCACTATAATAATCCAATGGTTCACATTTAATTACCAATCACCTCTTAATTTTAGCTGTGCCCACAAACAAAATCTTTTTATTTTTATGTATAAAAGTACAAATTATTAAGTAGTTTAATTTATTAGGATTTCAATAATATCCCTGTAAATACATAAGTTCATGTTACATGAGTTTATAGTAACTAATCAAACTAAAGGCAACATAATTTCATATAAATTTCAAATAGTTATTCTAAGTGCATGCTATATAAAGTTTACGGCCTCAAATCCATATTGATGAACCTCTTAAATGATCTGTTTTTTAAATTATATATCAATTGATAATTATATATCTAAATACCAAAATTAAAAAGTGATTATATATATATATATAGACACACTAACTATCTTGAGTTAGCATATTGATTTAAAGAATATAAGGCAATTCTACATAATGATGACGAAACCACCTATCTAAGATTTAATATCTTATGCAGTGATGTACATAAACAAAATAGTTAGATATATTGATACTTACCAAACTAAAAATAATTTTTTCTGACTAAATTATTGAATAAAAACAGAGGAATTTATATTCAATTATGGTTGCATTATGTTTATGTTGGCGTAATAATTTTAACTAGTAAAATATAAGATATAATATATCAATATTTACTTATAAGTTATAAAAATAATCTAGTTGGAAAGACTTGACCGATAAAAGTAAAACAAAAACTTATAAAATATTACAAATAAAGTTATGAAGTAACATAAATATTGGAGGCAATTATTTATTTAATCAGTCATAACTTAAACACAAACTGATTTGACATTTCACATTTGAGCCCATTTTAAAATTTAGGGTTCGAGGTCTTGATATATTTATCCCTTAACATAAAATTAGCTATAATTAACCAAAGTGTCAAAACGAGAATAATTGAAGGGTAATAGATATATATTATCTCTAACGAGATTGAGAGTTCAATACCCTACCTCCACATAGTACTAAAAAAAATGCTACTATTAACCAAAGTGATAAGTGTAAACACCACAAAAATAGGATTTTATTATAAAAAGTAATAGTTGCAATGTTTTGGACCCTCAGTCTTACTATTCAATAATGCTATATTTTAAACTTTATATTTGTTGTACTAAAAAAAATATGAAGTAGGATTAATTAATTAAAAAGAACAAAAATAAAGTCGTGCATGCAAAGACAAAAAAGAAAAACCAAATTAAATCAAACCCTACAACGACTCTAAAGAATAACAATCCAACTAGAACTAACTCAACCATTTGATAACCAAACATAGTAGCATATCAACACAGTTATTTCGTAAGATTAGTCAAAGAATATACAATCTGACAGCGACCGACACTCAAGAGAAAAAAGAAACTCAAATCTTGACTCCCTTCTATTTGAAAGAAACCCTAGAAAAATAATGAAGCTGAAAAACCCGAACCCCACAAAGCATTTGGAAGTGAGAAAAGAAAAAAGAAGAAAAGTTGAGAGTTTTAAGAGAGGTGTACAGAGGAGTGTCTCCTCCAATAGCACCCAAAATACCTTTATTCCCATCAATCCCACCACATCTGATTATCCATTTTGATCCTCCCCACATCCCCATCTTCATCATCATTAATTAAAACCCCCATTTCTCTCCTCTTTCCTTCTTACTTCTCTTCATTCTTCTTTCTTTTACTCACTTTTCCCCTCTCATGGGGTGCAACCAACGAGGTTCTTCCATATCTTCACTGTTTTTTCTTTCATCGGGAAGGAAACTCGCAGTCTCAGTCTCAGTCCCAGTCCCAGTCCCATAAAGAAAAAGATTTTAGGGTTCTTGTCCTCGTCGTCGTCGTTGTTATATATTGTTTGTAAAAGAAAAAGAAAAAAGACAAGTACGAAAAAGGACTGTTTGAGTTAGCTTAAATAGCGGGAGAAAAGGGCGCAGTAGTAGCAGGTTTTATGGAGCGTGGAGGATCCAGTGGAAGCAGTGGTGGCAGTTCTTTCATGGCGGGATTTGGGGAAAACAACAACAACAGCAGCAGCAGTGGGATTTCTTCTATGGTGATGATGAGTAGTAGTAGTAATAATAATTCCCAAATATTGGACAACAACAACAACAACGTTAATAATAAGCTGTTTGTGCCTTTATCTTGGTCTGCTACTTCCACTGCACAAAGGGTTTCTGCCTTTGTCCCTCAGCCTCCTCATAATAATTCAAATCATAATCTTCAAAACAGCTGCAGAGCTAAGATCATGGCTCATCCTCTCTTCCCCCGCCTCTTGGCTGCCTATGTCAACTGTCAAAAGGTCCGTTAATTAACTCCTGTTTTGTAACATTTTCGTTTCTTCTTTCTTGTTTCTGGAACTGGTGGTTGAGTTTTTTAAGGGCTGTTTTGGTTTCAATTCAATATCCATAGATTCGTAGAACAATTTTTCTATTTATGTTTTGGAACCAAATTGAATATGGAAACAAGAAAAAAAGAACCTTTTTGACGTTTTCAAAATTTCTATACAATTTTGAGGATCCAAGAAATATAATTAGTTACCAAGCGAAACTAGAAATGAAAACGCAGCCATAATTTACCGTAATTGATTCCCCTTTGATCTTGTGATCATGATTTCATGTGGTTGGTGGTGGTGGTGCAGGTGGGTGCGCCGCCGGAAGTGGTGGCAAGGCTGGAGCAGGCGTGCGCGGTGGCCGGAGGGAGCTGCAGGGCGACGGCGCGTGGGGATGATCCAGCACTGGATCAGTTCATGGAGGCGTACTGTGAGATGTTGAGCAAGTACGAGCAAGAGTTGAGCAAGCCCTTCAAAGAAGCCATGCTTTTCTTCTCAAGAATCGAGTCTCAGCTCAAAGCCTTGGCAGTTTCTTCTTCTACTTCTGATGGTCTGCTCACTCTCTATTCATCATTTTTTTTTTCTTTTGTGCATTTTCCTTTGATTTTGCCTTTAGATTATGGTTTTAATTTGGTGGGTGTAGGCAGTGGTTTTTGCAGTTCTGATGTGAGTTTTTTTTCATGTTTTAATTACACATCTAATCAGTAGAAATGAGTACTGGTATTACCCAGAGATTAGAAATGATTAAAAAAAGAAAGAGAAGTTTTTTAGAGATATTATTTAAACTTAAGATATGAATTATTATGATAATATGCAGTAATTTGGTTATAGTCAACGAAGAAATCAAACTGAGGGACGTTATCTTTTGTTTTTGTTGCAAACTTTTTTCAGGGTTGGTTTTGTTTCTCCGAAATGGCCAACTTTGAGTGCAGATTAAGTGGATAATAAGTATTTATTTCTATTTTTATGAGTTATAGGTTTGAGTTCAAGAAGAATAATCAATTTAGACTGCCGGATCATTTTGAATAATTTTGATGCTTAGATGTTAACGAATGACTCATAAATTTCCTCTTTTATTTATAAGCTTGAATTTATTTATTTAATAGGGTTGGAATGTGTACTCAGAAAATAATAATATTAGGTGTCTATTGATCAACACTCTGTCCACCAATAAATATTTGATCATCTTACAGGCTTTTTGAAAAAAAAAAAAACTATTTTACTGCATTTCTCCCTCACACTTGTCTAATACGTAATTGTGATCAGCAAAATATAGATGCTACACAGTAAGTTTGATAGATTGATGTTGTAGAAATAAAAAAAATGTGTATTTTATTTAACCTGGAGATTGTTTCAATAATTTATTGTCCAGTGCTTTGTAGTCTTGACCCTAATTGAAAGTTAATTTCTGAACTTGTTAATTGTCTTTGCTTTTGATTTAACTTTTAAGTTAAAGTGAAAGAGATTCATTTCTGTTTGTAATGAATCTTTCTTTGATTAAGTTCCTACCTGTGATGTATGTGACCCTTTTTTTTATTGATTGATTTTGAATATGTTTAGTAAACAAATAAAATTTTCCTTAACCTAATAGGCTCATGGATTCAGTGTAAATAAACTCATGAACATATTTAATTAACTTCTCATATCCTCCCACTTGAAATGACCAAATTTGGAGATACCCTCGTCAATTTTTAGTCTTTTTGGTTTAGTGAGCTAATATTTCACTTTCTAGCTAGCTCTGGGCCGAGGAAATGAGTTGTAAGAGAGAGATCACAGTTGGTTTGTATGGCTGCATGGTTGTGTGTTGTGAATTGGACAATGCCTATGTTCAGGTTGCGAGCTGGTCGGGCAAAGCGAGTGTTCGAAGGAGGTCGAGGTCGATATGAATGAGAACTACATTGACCCGCAGGCTGAAGAGAAGGAATTGAAGGGCCAGCTTCTACGCAAATACAGCGGATACCTCGGCAGCCTGAAGCAGGAGTTTCTGAAGAAGAAGAAGAACGGAAAGTTGCCGAAAGAAGCCCGGCAGGAGCTGCTCGACTGGTGGAGCAGGCACTACAAGTGGCCATACCCCTCGGTACGCATCATCTGTCATTCAAATTTTAGTGGGATCCATTTATCTATGACAACAGCTCTTGCTGATCAATGTCAATGTCGATATTAACGTGATGAGAATATGACCAGGAGGCACAAAAGGTGGCGTTGGCGGAGTCCACGGGGCTGGACCTGAAGCAGATCAACAACTGGTTCATAAACCAGAGGAAGAGGCATTGGAAGCCATCAGAGGATATGCAGTTTGTGGTGATGGATGCAGCTCATCCACACTACTATTTGGACAATGTCATCTGCAATAATCCCTTCTCTATGGACTGCTCCTCTACTCTCTTCTGATCATCATATAATGCCATTAATTTTCTAAGTAATGCAAGCTTTAATGTGTTTATGTTCAAGTAATTTCCATTTTGTTTAAGTTTAGGCTATTTGTATTGGATTTTATGGTCTTTTTTTACCACTAATCTAGCAATGCCTCATAGCTACCCCTTTCTCCATTCCCTTTGTTTCCATAGCTTGGTTTTCTGCTTTCCTTTTTAACAAATAGAATAGAATGATCTCACTTGTATGCTCAAACATGATTTTGCCCAATTTGGATCAGACCTTAATGTTACTACTCACTCAGACATTACTCGATAGAGGTGCAATGCTTATGGAAGTCCCGAACAGGTTAGGCTTTACATTGTCTCATTTGGCAATTTATGAAAGTTTTGGGTGAAAATTATGCACTTTTTTTTGTGGGAGTTTATGGAAAATTTCTGAAATTAGATATAAAATGACAGGCTCAAGCTTTTCTTTAACTAGTAGTAGTGGAAGGAGATTTACATTAAAAAATTCGCTATTTTGAAAGTAATTTCTGCACGACTTCGATATTATATTATACTTTTTGGTTGCTCCATAAGGTTAACACTAATTCTGAAGCTGCAATTTACTTTAAAAAGGGAACTAATATTTTTTTAACTGAATTCATTAATTAAAACATTATAAAATTGAAATGAATTAATTAAATAAAACTTTAAGCAACTAACATTTAATGTTTTAAAAAAATCAATATTTAAATAATTAATTAAAACATAAATAAAATATAAATTGGAATAGAGGAATAAAATATAACTAAAGCAAGCATACTATTAGTTGACATATATTTCCAACCAAGCGTTTATGTATTGGATTCCCGCTCATACATATTGTAATAAAAATGAAGAGCGATAAAATATTTATAGTATGCAATTTCTTAATTTATTATGAATTTTCTTATATATTTTATTTTTCCTCATTATTTTTATTGTTATTATTTTTTCGGATACTCTATTCTTTTCTTTTTTCTTTTTTTTTTCCCTCTCTTTATACTATTTTAATCTTTTCATTCTCAATCTTCTTTTTCTTCCCATACTCTCTTTTATTGGCCTTTTTTCTTTTATTTTATATTCTTCTTGTGGCTTTTTAATTTGTGTCTTTTGATTCTGTTTTAGTTAAAAATAATTTATTTAGATAGTTTCCTCTTTTCAAAAATCTCATTTCATACCTCTCTGAGAAAATCCCCAAATCTCATATTTCCTCGCACCTATTTTAATAAATTTTTTAGGACACGGTGTGAGTAACTATAATTTCAAGTTGTATTTTTCTTTAATGGAATTGAACATTCAGAGATTTATTCGTACATTTTTAAAATGGAGGCACCTATTAGACAAAAACAAAATTATTATACTTTTAAGAAAGTTTAAGAATATATTAAACTTATTTAATTAAAAAATAGTTTTTTATTATCAAATACAGTAGATTCTAGATTATGTAAAAAGAAAAAAAAATTCTTTAAAAATTATTTGGGAGTGATCTTGAAAAAATAGATTTAAATATAATGGATTTTTTAAAATATCATTCAAGTGATATCACAAAAATCAATTTAAAGTGATTTTGGAAAAAAATCACACCTAATTTTACGCTTATAAAAAGTTTTTTTTTTCCTAAAAACTATTTTTTTTTTCAAGAATCATGCTAAACACACATTAATTTTGTTTATGGACTTGAGATTAACACTTAAGTACATAATACAGTGATTCTAAAGTCGGCGAAACTAAGGTCAAAAGTCAACAGTCTTTTCTAAATTCATAAGTTTCTTATAAATTGTATAAAATAACTTAAAAAGTTTTCAAATGAGGAAGAATCATATTAAAAGAATGTGATTCATCGTATCAGAAACTTGAACAATAATCTGATAATGCATTGCAATAACAAGCCACATAAATGCGCATAAATTCTTGAAAAATTTAATGGTACTCCATAAACTTAATCGTTGGTATAAATATGAATTATTCTTGATTTTTAAATCTTAAAAATCACCAATTTCTATTATCATAAAAATATTTTGTAAATAATTCCTCAGATGCGGATAAGATTTTTTTTGTCTTACGGCAACATAGAATTGCAAATTCAACCACATTTTTTCTATTTTCTTTTTTTTTTTAATAAGTTCACTGTATTTTAATCTAAAGAATGATCAAGGTTGCAAAGTTCGGACCAATGACTAGCTGGCGAGAGAGGAACCATGGTAAACAAATGCTCAAATCAGTGTTTGCCTGACTATGTTCGAGTATAATTTTGCAACTCTTGATTCTATTAGAAATTTGTGCCTGCTGTTACTTTTAAAGGTCGACTTATCATTTCAAAAAGTTTGTTGAGGTGCGATGTGCAGGTTTGCTTGATATGTATTTTGAGATGAGATGATTTAAATTCATGATCTATTGGTCTGAGATATGTGCCAATTATCGTTAACCAAAATTTGTCAATACGAGTCTAGGTCGACAGTAATTGACATCTACTCATTCGTTGGATGTTTAAATCTCTCTAATCCGATTTATTGAACTAAGAAAACAAAATTATTAACCCATATTTGATAGTCAATTTTTTTTAATATTTAATAGTCACTTAGTATTTGTTAAGTAGTATCTGTAAATTTATTAATCTTGCCATTTTAAACTTAGCTTTAATTACATTATTCTTTTTAGATTGAATGAGTGGAACATAAATTAGGTAGTATTTTTTTAAGGCTATGCCAAACTCCAAGTCTAACATTTTTGTTTTAATTTCTACGTTTAACATTTAACTTTATACTATTAATTATTTTATATTAAATAAATTTTAAATTATATTTTACAAATCTCACTTTTGATGTGCTTTAACATTATCATTATATTTCCGGTGCTTCGGTTTTGATACTAATATACCAAAGACTACCTAAAGAAATAAATGACTTTGCAATATTACCTTTTTTTTAGTACAGCAAGTAGCGGAGAAAGATTTCAGCTTATGATTTTTTGTTGAGACAGATGTCAATTACCACTGAACTAAGCTCGTTTTAGTGACTTTGCAGTATTAATTATTTCAATAACGACCAATACTATTATAACTATATTTTCCCAACTACTTTTGAACCATCAACAAGATTCGAAATTAAATGAGGAGACATTTAAGATATTTTGAAAACAAATAAATTCATCAAAAGAATATACTTCGAAACATTGATGGAATCAAAGCACAAGTGAAAAATGCATATGCCACTTCTAAAATGAAAGAAAAATAAAAGAATAACTGTCTCGAAAAATAAAATAAGAATATATGAAATTAAAATAAATTTAAGAGTTATGATTCATGAAGTTAATTTTTGATTAATTAAGCAATAAGTAATAAAGTTGAAATTTTTTATGTTAGTAAAAAATTTCGGGCATGCATGCATGAGTCATGACAGTGGATTTGTGATGCATGTGATGATGGATCATCTTGTTCATGCCGCATCCCAACAAAATCCCCATACCCATTTTCTCTCTCTTCCGCTCTCTCTCTCCAGTCTTCGGCCCTTCTGTGTTTAGGGTTTCTCGGTGTGGCACTCTTCAGTCTCAGAGGGTTCCAATTTTGTTGATTTGA